AACAGACGTGCTTATGTCCTTGTTGTTTGTGCCTACTACTGTTGTTAATCGTATTACAAGGAAAAGTTACTTGAACTGGTTGTGTTTTCCTTATTTTTAAAACCCATCCTGTCAAAGTTTTAAGTTTTTAAAATTAATTTGGCAATTAACCCTCGGACGTACACGCAAACTCATACCCCCACCATGGTACAAGGGGGCGCAGAGGGGGTGGATGGAACCCCTCCCAGGGGTTTTTGATATGTTGCAGTATTTCGAAACGATTTTGCCTTTAGTGGAAAGCCTTTGATCTGCTTAACAACATGAAGTATATTTTATGGGTGGTGGCACTGCTGGAGGCCTGTGATGTTACCAACAATGGTCCCGATCTTGGCCGCCATCATGACCATGAGAAATGGTAATTTTTTTGTGCTTTATATGAAAAATAACACATAAATAAGCACTTTGCATGATTTTAGCCACAAGATTTACTTTTATTGTTGAAAGAAGTTGAAAAAACATGTATTTTCACTCAAAAATGGCTTGACCACCTGCTACTTGTGATGTCATATCTCATAACCATAGCAACTGAGCATCTCTAAACTTGTCTCAAAATGTGTGCCAGGGATGAACGAACAGCTACTGAAAACGTCAGGTGCTGATGTTTTATCCTCTAGGAAAAAACTCAGAAAAACCTTAGGGGGGGTGGCATCCACCCCCTCTGCCCCTTGTACATCCAAGGGTTAATTGAGCTATGAAGTGAAACCTGTATTACTATTCAATTGAATAGTCAATCTATGTACGTTGACCAAAGGTGGTTGATATGAAATAGACAAATTACCTGACAAGAGATGTAACATACTTGGAAACATATAAAAATATAATCCATGCACTGCAATGAAACCTGAATAAACTTAACATTGATTTCTAGACTTTGCTAGCACTCATATCTTACCAAAGAGTTGTCCCGCATTAACCTGAGATCAGGCTGTACTTTTATTTTCCTGGGTAACCAGATTCCAGGCCAGCAAGGCAAAGTGAAAAGTCTCCCATTTAGTTCAGTACTTGTGTACTTGAATTACGTGTG